CGCGTAACAATCAGTCTCGGAATGAGAGCTTTATGATCTTTTCGTCTGGTCTCAAATGCACTTCTGAAGAGCCTAGAAACACCACATCAGCAATCTTTCAGACTGGCTCTGACCCACTGATGCCGATATCAACGAGCAGAACCTCTTGTTGGCTCAAGTTGCTAGCACTACCATGATAATATTGATGAGATGTTTCGGCCGAGCAAGTTGAATCCTACATCGAACCACAGTTCAGTTTTAGCGCTGCCAACTCATCTTCATCCTCCCCATCGTTATTTATGTCTCCAGATGCCTTCCTGCTGGAGAATATTGAAAATGTTATAGAATCTTGAGGAAACAACTCGTCAGATAGAAAACTCTTTCAGTACCTTATTTTACTCAATATGATTCGTATGTACGTTTGGACTAGTATAGAAAGGCAGCAATTTATCGGGTTGTGTGAGGCTAAGCCTGAACCCTTTTATATTTTTCTTTCATCGAAATCATCAACAGTAGGTTTCTGATCTACTTTTGGAATGGAGTCGAAGCCTATAGCTAATACTTTCTCGACCACATCTGTTTCTTGCAAACATGTCAATTTCCTACCGTATAGGGAAAAGTATAGTTTCGACTCAGTCGAAATCCTATTGTAGTACTGTAATATCATCTTCGCCCTTCCACTTCAGATTCCCTCTATCATATATTACCTTCCCTCCAGCATCTTTGATTACCACCTTTTCTCTCAGCGCGTTGGGATCCATCTGCACATCGCACACCGATTTCTTGAGTGTCTCGAACACCCCTCTACCATAACATCCATCTCCGTTGACCGTAAACTCAATAGGGCTATAGATTTCCTTCCCATTATGTGCAGGAAATGAGTGTTCCGAAGTATAATCCATCATAGCTCCCGCCGGTAATTTCAGTGCGCCCCTTGCATCCTGTAACAAAAGGGAATTCAGAGCATCATTAATCGTTAGCCACCTAGGAGGTTCGAGAACATTCCAGTTTTTGAACGTTGGCTTCACGAAATATGGTTTGACGCCAGCTCGAGCTTCCATGATAATAACTCCATTGCTGTCGACCTATAATAGAACAAATCAAGATCAATGGAATGTACTGCCCAAGGGGATAAACGCACCGGAGAGGAAGTTGCAAGAGTAAGATATACGCCAAAGACTAGGCAGGTCAACGGCAGACCGAGACGCATGAAGGATATTTCGTTGAAAAATGTTCAAAAATACAAGATATCTTTGACCAGCAAAGAGTAAGTCACTAACGGAATGAAGAACTGTAGATGGGGAAGGTTTTTATCAATATATATGCAGTCTCCGGTTCCGGATTATGTGTGGGATTTAAATTTTATTCACCAACAGATTGAGGCCAGCACATTGGTGCTGTTATTGAAATACTCGAAATGGCCCCGAGTGAAGACCTTTGCTAAGATGAATTGATGATGGTAGTAATCAGATACATCCAGTCTACTTCTCATTCAACCTAAAATCTTTCTCTACATTTTTCATTTTAGCCTTCCGCAACGCCTCTGCCGCCTCCTTCCTCAATTGCTCCTCATCTCCCCTCAAAAGTTCCTTGTGTTCGATCATCACTGCGCTCACCAGCGTCGCAGTCGCCGACATTGCGGCATTCAACAAAAAGACGTCTCGGAAACCTTTTGTATATCCATTAGAGAGTATATATGTTGCCTGAAAGGAAGATATGTTGAGACTCGCGATGGAGGAAGAGTTGGTAAGCAGTGATGGGTTGTCGATTACGATGGTAATCGTGGATGAGGGGGATTGGAGGTTGACTATGGACTTTCGGATTGCGTTGTTCCTGGACGGGATTCTCGGGATTCTCAGCATATCTCCCAACGTCTAGAGTGCACTTACAGGAGGGAAGATGCAACTGGCAGGAAGATCGCTCCTCCGAGCATACGAAGAAACTACGGAGTGATATCAGTCGAGTTGGAGCATCAAGTTTTTGCACTTACATTCCGCACTGCAGTGACAACCGACATATCCTTTCTTGCAACACTAGCTTGAGCAGCTACGGTTGTGGTTTGCATGGTCTAACAATTACATCAATTGAATCTGTTTGTATGACAGAAGAGTGTGCTAAACACACCATGCCATTTCTGAATCCAGTGAGAATTATTAGGATGGCCATAACGGCTTTCGACGTGCTGGTAGTAAATATGGAAATACATCCTGAGCCAATAGCTGCCAATGCGTAGCCAGTATACACTACCGTGCAATATTTTCCTGTATGGACGGAGAACCCCTTGAGATGGAATGAGGGCTAGCTAGTCATTTATGACAAGAAGATATATTACCGCTGATAAACTTGAAGCGACTTGACTCAGGACAATTGGTAAGAGAAAGGTCCCTAGGGATAATCTGATTGTAAGAAGGCATTGAGATCCGGAACAGGTCGAAAAACCAACCAGAGTAACTCGGGTAATATCCGAGCACGACTTGGAAGAATAAGGGAAGGTAGTATAACGCCGAGAAGAACACGAATCCACTTCCCGAAAACAAAAAATCAGTCTTTCAAACATGCATCACCAGAAAAACCAAGTTGCAACGAACTTGGCGAACATGCATATGTAAACACCGACAGCGGTCGAATGTTTGAAGATGTGCATTAACGATGAAATTTGAGTTTGGGTCATTTTCGAACACAAGCATAGACTACAAAGCTTACTAGGCACAATCGGCAGATAAGCGGACACCCTCCAAGCGTTAGAATGATACCAGGATAATCGATGATCCCGAGTTTCCTGTGAACTATTGGTTACATCACATATCGCGTGAGGAGGAACAGGACTGACTGTACAATCCCGCCTGCCATTGGTTCTGAAGGCGTGAAGATGACCGCCATCATAGTAGCGACCACGGAAAGAGGTAGAGTAACCCAGAAGCACCACTGACGGAATCCGAGTCAGCGAATCGGTTTGACGACAGAACACTGGTTGACTCGCCCGCCAACTTGACTTTTCTGCCAGAACACCACCGATGATAGGCTCAAACGCATATCCTAACGCGAATACACCAGCTGAAATCCCGACATATTTTCCTCTAAATGCCCTATTGAGTTTTTGCGTCGTGAAAGTGAAAATCTTCCACTCCTACCTTTCCCTCAGCGGGACGATATCTGAAATCAAAATCTGCAACATACTGGAAATGCCTCCTCCACCAGCTCCTGCGATTCCTCTGCAAACGATGAGTTGGATAATGGAATTAGAGAAACATGCAGCGAGATTCCCGACGAAGTAAACGGCCATGGCAAGACACAATGCATTCTTTCACCCGAATATATCGCTCAGACGTCCATAGAGCGGTTGAAAGGCCGTAGAAGTCAACAAGTATGCCGACGGTACCCAGGAAGACACCGAGCCAGCATTGAACACCGCCGATACGGTAGATAGAGGGGCAGAGACAATGAGGGAGTGGAGGGATGTTACCAAAGCGCACATCGACAGTGCAAAAAATATAACGACAACTTGGCGGACAGGAAGGAGATTAGTCTGATCAGTAAGTTCAAGGGCAGCTTGAGTTCTGTGGTTAGTTTCATTGACTGGTGAAGAGAGCTGTACAGGGTTATCAAGCACAGTCTCCGACACTGCAGAAGCCATTGGAATAACGATCTGATTCGATTTCTGTGACAACTAAGTTATATATGTCCAATACGTTCAGCAATCAACCAAAATAATGCAATCAGAGGCACGGTTTGTCGATGCACTGAGCGTTTCTGGAATTCCCCTCGTTGTGTGCTCGTTGTGACACCGTTAGTCGCGTATTACTAGTAGTCGTTTGTCAAGAACGAAATGGTAGTACACGTGACACAGCTTCCGCCATGCAAAGGACGTTGTTCATCCAATCGTTACGCTCTTTCAATTGCTCTTCCATCTCTAGTGCTTCGGTCAGAGTTATCCTTCAAACCAGTTCGGCATCTCCACTAAGCTTGATAAATGGTGGTTTTCGATTCAAGTCAACGAGAGCCGCGAAATTTGCGCAGAAAAGTGCACCTCTACCAGCGTCAGCGAAGTCTGATGACTACCGACCAACTGCGTCCAAGGCAACAGAGGGATCGTTTTCATGGCCTGAATATTTGACTATTCGTCGAAGCAAACGAAGATGGCAAAATGTGAGAACAGGTTCCATACTGACATTAAAGCTTTAAAGCTGAAGGCCCCTTCTAGTTCGCAGCTATACCTTGCTCAGCAATCGGTCTTATGGGTGGAGCTATGTATTTTGGAAGTTTGGACACGGATCCATTGAAACCCATATTCGTGCGTTTTTTCGAATTCTTTGCAAGCAATTCGCGCTTACCTTTTCATCTTTGTGTAGGGTATCGATCCTTTCATATTCTACGGAATTTGCACGACCGCGTGTATGGGTGTTGGCTATTTAGTAGGACCAACCCTCGGCGCGTTTTTATGGCGGTCCCTTCCCTCCTCAAAACGTTACGGTAGCTTGATTGACAAGAAGGACAAGGAATTCTACAAGAGGATAGCGAAGAATCGCGTCGACGTGACGTTGCAGAGTCCTACAAGTCCAGTACCAGATTATTACGGTGAGTGTTCTTTACGTTTGACCACGGTAACTACTAAAATGATCTTTCTTTCCTTAGGTGAAAAGATTGGTTCCCTGCACCAATATAGAAAGGTCCGTGTCTTGTTCACTTTTTCACATCTTGCTAACATTGGTTGAAAAATCTCGCAGTGGCTCCGCGACCAAAACAAGTACCGACGAAAAGTTGTTTTCGATGAGGCCGCGTAGAACGCTTTCCCGGAGGAAAGGAGATTCTGATCTAAATTTATGTTATGTAGTCTGTACGAAAGACTAGTATTCTCAATCAACCATGTCCCGGTTGGTACTAAATTGTAACAAAGGAAGTACACTGTACCTAGCTCATTGTTGCATACTTGCCTCATAGCCAGGTAATCAATCTTTCCGATAGTAACATTTATTGCAGCGAGGTCCTAGAAGACCAAATTTCAACGCAAAAAACACTAACACTTCCTTCTAGCCGACTTGAACGACTGACCTCGTCATGGACTTGAAATAATTCCACCAGCAACAAACTGTAGAATTAGCACTGTACTAGTGACGCGCTCTACCAACTGAGCTAAGAAGGATCTGTTTAACCTATAAGCCATATTGAAAACATATCGCAAGAGAATTAATTCACATGTAGAAAAACCACGCAAAGTTCATTATGAAAAACGTCCATGGCAAAATGCGTACGCAATGTGCAATCGTCTCTACATGATATGTAAATATTCGAGGCAACATGGAAGTAGCTACACATTAGAAAGATAGTAAAGTCCTCGCGAAAAGACCGGCAAAAGGCACCGTCACAATACTTAGAAGCCCAGGACACTCTCAAGAGTTTCAGTAATAGTGAACTGCTCGCTCTGGTCGCCAGAGTCACCGAATACTGGCGCAAAACGGCATCTAAGTAAGTATACACACCGTAGTTGTCAAAAACGCACAGATGATAGAGTAATCGTCTCCCGGGATTACGTCCGAAGGGCAAGTAATGGTGACCCATCCTTGTCTGAGGTCAAAGCCACTGGCGAGGGCTAGGGAAGAAGAGGGTTCACGCTGTCAGGCGACTTAACCAAGAAGAGGGAGTGAAGACTTAACATACTTGTGTTAGTCAAGACTTTATCCTTTCCTAAGCGGACAGCGGCTCCGTTAGAGATGTTAACAGGTGCATCGGAAGTATCCCTTCATGAACATTTTTACGCATTAGTCTCCTTGTCTATAACTTGAGCGTATTTCTCACCAGGTAACGTTGTACTGCTGTCCCTCAGCCCAAACAGTGGTAGCGTTGGGAGAAATAATCTTCGGAGCCCAGACATCCAAGATCATGCGAGCCTCATTGGAAACGGGGGAAGCAGAGACTGCGGAGGCAGCGAAAGCCATAAGAGCAGTAGCGATGAGCGTGAATTGCATGACGACAACAAGTTAAAGAGTGTAGGGGAATTGAAGGAGCGAGCAAGTTGTCTCTTGGAGGAATTAGAACCGTTAGGTGCAGAGGTAGGGAAGGGATTCGCCGTGGCAACAAAGGTTTAAATATCTCGCTAAGCCCTAGGCTCTGCCGTGAATGCAGCAACATTCAACATAGAAATTAGCTCCACAGTATGATGGCTTGGTCACAGCTGATCACCGCTGATCACAGCCTAACAAACTCTCCACAAGCTTCACGGCTTATCCGCGTGGGATGAGGCTTTAAGTATGAGGGATGAGAGATTTTGAAGATGGAAGTCCGGCGACCTTGAAGCTTGAAGGAGGCTTGAAGTGAGAAACAGGAAGTATTTCGACAACCTGAGGTTTTGTATATATGATGATTGCTGTGGGAGAATCATGAACGCGTTACAGCATAGCCAAACTCATCGCGTCTTGTGAGAGATACAATAAGTAAACAAGACTGGAGTATGTGCAGAAGACAATATATGTACGAAGATTTGGATCAGGAACTTGGCAGAAAAGTAGGAAAAGAGGAGTGAATAAAGTTGACTCATAAAATTATAATTGAATGAAACTGGTATCGATTCCATGAGCAAAGTCCCAGATACAAATCCGCTATGAGTTGAAAGGTGAGCAAGAAATGCGTAACAGAGATTGCAATACATACTTGATCTTCTCCACATGAAACTACCTAAGGGAGAAAGAGAACAAATGATCAGCACACAGCAAATCCGAATTCAAACCAACCAAACTTACTTTCGTGCAGTCGAATCCGATACAAAATATTCTCCCCGTGTGTCCACCAGATAGATCCGCAACCAATGCCCCGGTTTTCCGATCCCACACCTGATAAACTATATAACTAATCCATATGTAACAGAAAATGGAGATAGAAGTTACCTTGATACTTAAATCATAACTCCCACTCAACACAAGTCCGTCTCCAAACGCGACACTCCTCACCAAATCTCTATGAAAAACATTCTTATGAACGTTACTAGTACCCTGTCGCCCGCCAGCGCCGCCCCCAAGAGAGACGAGCCCACTGTTTCCGCACGTCTGACATAAGACGGCTTGGCCTTCTTGGCCGAATGCGAATGTCGTGGCAATATTGTTGGGTTGTGCAGGTGCAAAACTAAAGCCACCATTTAAAAGGTCGTTGCATGTGGCAAAAGTCGGTGACTGGAGCGCTGGGAGGAAGGTCGAGGGCAAGGGAAAAGGAGCAGCCTGAGAGTCCAAACCATGGCCGTTTAATCCAGAAAGACCGTCATATTCCGGGGAGGTGGACCAACCTCGCAAGGATGTAATGTCGAACAGACGAAGATGCTTGTCCGAAGAACCAGAAAGTACATAGGGGGGTTTAAAATCGATGGACGCGATACTACAGATTCCATCAGCGAAACGTTATAGAAAAAGGGCAAAGGAATACCTACCCCCTGCTATGGTGATTCTCAAAGGTGCGCAAGAGATTCCCAGTGCGGGCGTCCCATAGTCGAATTGAACGGTCGCCTGAGCCGGATACAATGAGAGCACCTGATATGGATACAGCGTTCACGGCTGCGCGATGTGCACCAAGGACAAACTGGGGTACTAGATCGGGAAACAAGTACGTTCGAACAGTCCGATCTAGATAAAAAGACATCGATATACGATGTTTCAAGACAGGGAGAGACACTGGGCAAACCTTTTGAACAAGAAACAAGCCGTTTCTCATCAAACCGCACGCAAAGCACGCTGTCCTCGTGGTCAGATATGACCTTGATGACCTTGTTCTTCTCCAAGTCCCAGACGACGACCTTGAGGTCGCTACCTGCACTAGCAAGGATCCCATTATACACACAGATGCTCAGAACAGAGCTTATATGAACCCCGCTAATCACTCTCTCTACAAGCCCTGTGGATAAGTTCCATTCCCGCACAGTCTTGTCTCGCGACCCAGTAAAAAGCGTCTGGGCGCCTGAAGGATAGGTGTATAATTGAAGGCAGTAGATCGTATTCGTATGTGAATTAGTAGGTCCGCCTCGGGTTTGGAGTGCGGATAATCGATATGATGAGGTGAGAATCCGTTTTTGGAGCTTGATGTGCGTTTGATGGAGAAGTTTGTAGTTTGGTTTCGGTGAAGCGGAAGGTGATGATGTGGAACCGAGAAGAGAAGGAGCGGAGTGACGGGCCATTGCTCTCGGGCGTGCGCCGGCGAGTTTCCTCGTAGATGAAGGATCTGGGGTGGTGCCATGTGGATAAACGCTGGCCCGATGCATGCTCGAAGAGGTAGAAGCAAATGGGTTGGAGGGCATGGATACAATAGTTTGATTGACACCAGCGAACGACATGGATGCAAATCCTGAGTCCAGTTCTGCATGCATCATTGTCAACTCGGCTTTAGCAGCATCGAGCTCGCTCATCATAAGCGTGTCAGCAACTTCTTCCTCTTCGGCCTCTTCATCAGAGTCTCCCATGCCTTCATCGTCTGAATCGATCCAGGCACCTTGGGGTGAATCCAATCCGGAACGAGTGAAGACGGGAGGAAGTTTAGACGATGGATGCCGCCAAGACCAGCCACGAGCATCGCAAAGATTCTTCCATAGGGCTTGATCATTAGAGAGAACATTCCATCTTCGACAGACGAGAGCGCTGATGAGTAATGCAGGGAAGGGGAGGTAGGATAATATTTGGAGGGAAACTTCCGCTGGTAAAGACTATGAATAGATAGGCTGATAAGAACGACAAAGCAAGCACCAGATTCAAAGCAGTAGACGACTTACTCCCACAACGTCAAACTGTAATAATGGTACCAGCCGCCTTTGTATAGTGGCGAGACGAGCTCTCGGCAGAGATGCTAAGAGTTGATACGCCAATTCTAAAGGATACTTTGTCGTCAAGATTGGCACTTGATACGCTACAGATAAAGAGTTTACCTTCGCACTCCTGGACGGAATTGAGCCCTGAAAGCAAGTTGACATTTTTATTGGGCGTTACAAATGTTTGGTTCAGGACATCTTCATCGTTGTACCCTTCGTCAAATACGTGTTGAGCGTTCATTGAGAGAAGTTCCTAAGGTTCTTGAATTGATATATGAAAGATAATAGGCAAGGGGGGTCCTCGCTGGTCCTCGTCGCTGTTGCACTTTGATTTGCCTTGATTAAGCGTGTAGGATCACTCATCAAGATACCAGGCACGTGCAACGTTATTCATTTGATGAACTTCAGGTGAAGAAAACTATTTGTAATCATTTATTCGAACCACCACACAATTATCCCTTGACGAATCCAACATGAACATGAACAAGGCCGCGCTGGACCGGCTCCTATGCAGGCACTCTCAAGGCGTTGCCTGAGATTGTGTTCAGTGAGAGCACTACTCTCAGCACAACTTGAGTTTGACGCCATCACTCGAAGCGTAAATTCACAACGTAACATTAGATTTCTATACAGATTCATATGAGTATTCACAAACATTTTTGGATACAACTTCTCTGCCCACATCCCATTCTTTTGACCGACGTTCTAATGTTCAAACCAGCAACCCACAGCCCAGCCCCTTGGGAGCAAGTCACATGGCTTCATGTTCAAAGGACGCTGCCCAGACTGCATGGGTCAAAGAGGAGACGAAGAGAAGTAAGTGTAAATGAGAGTTGGGGAATATAAAAAGGGGAAAGAAAGAATACGTCAGTGAAATCGTCCAACAAAGAAAGAATTATTAAAGAGATACAAGAATAGTGTAAGACGGTGAATGCGTGGAAGTCTTATCGCCGGTGCGACGCTAGCACATCCGAAGCAGAAAAATAAGGTATCGCAAGTGCTGCGACAACTATCATTAATGTGAATGCGCCTGCAGCTAAACACGTGGCTGTATCAGAAGCGCGAGGAGTCGAAGCAAGATGAGCCCGTTTGGTTTTGGTTGAAGGAGCAGTTGAAGGAGGGGAGGAAGAATATGAAGGAGACGGGAATAGTTGAACGTACCCAATGGATTTGAAACCATGGATGCTGCGAAACGGTATTCATAAATATTCAAATCTGTCAGCGATAAAGAAGAAATACTCACTAATATCCTTCTAGGTTCCTCTTAATTTCATCTTCCATACCAAGAGGCACTCCAGTGAGAGACAGCGTTATTTTAGTTGAGTCTGAGGATTGTTTGAGCGTTGTCGTCAATGTGCCAGTGT